AAAATTTTTAAGATAATTATTGTTATGTAATTATAAAACTACCAGATTCAAGAGCTATAGCTGAAAGACTTTGCTATTCTCTATTACAGCTTAGGAATGATTAGCTGTTGAGCCAAGTACAAGGCACCCTCTAGAGCTGCTCCTCTTCTTCCTCTGTGTGCATGGAGGATTCTGCTCAATCAAGCTGTATCCAACCACGACATCTCCCAACCTATACTTCCATGAACCTCAAAGCTTCTTTCCATAAGCTTGCCTCTCATCTGCCTCAGCCTCAAGCTTCTCATCTTCCCTGCTTAGAGGTTCAAGTGGCCAGAATGACACTGACCCCAAATGACGGGACCAGGTGCAGCTCACAGTGGTCAGACAAGGCAATACACATCTGCTCTCCACCGGACAGTTCTGCCTGCTCCCCTGGCTATGTGAGCCTGCTCTGCGCACGCTAATCATGCTGTACCTGCTTTGGTTTCACTTTCTTCATTTATCTGAATTTCTTACTTTTCTACAATAAATATATATATTGCTTTCAACATCAGTTTTAGAGTTCGGCTACTCCATGCTGTGATGGATCTAGCGGAGGCAATACGGTGTAGCAAAGCAGATAGTGGCACAATTGGACACCACAAATGTGGGTTCAGTAGTGGACCCACTGGGCAAGTTGTAGCTCAGCTGTGGGCATACTGGGGATGGCAACCTTGAAAATAAATACAGCATGATGCCCAGCACTTCCAGGAAACAAAACAAAATGGCAAAGAGTATTTGAACCACATTCACTTCCTTCCTGCATTCTGAACCATTCAGGGAATGCCTCTGTCCCAAGGAAAGATGGCATCATTTCATTTCATGTCCTGTCATTTCTGTGTACCAGTGAGCTCTCTGGGCAACCGCGTGGGGGCCGATGATGGTCTGCGACTTGCCAGGAATGAGAACAGACATGCAAAGGAGTAGTAGCTTTACCCTTATCCACTGAGGGTCTGGACAGGGTCTGGACTGCTGTCACTGAGGGACGCCAACTGGCAGCTACGGAGGGCAAGTTAGAAATAACCACAATACGGAAGGGGTAGAAGGGTTTTTGTTTTGCTGGTTGTTGTTCATGTTTAAAAGAGTATTTTCATCAATAACAGTGAGAAGTCTCTGAGAGTGACAGGAAATTCAGCCCTGACACTTTACAGCCCTCCTCCCCCGCCTCCATGGAGCAGCAAAAACTCCAGAGTGGAATCTGAATATCAGGACCTCTCCCAGCTCCCTAACTACAGGGCTGTGGGCACAAACCAGTCACTTCACCTCTGTGGATCTCGGTTTCCCTTTCGTATAATAGGGAGTTTGAAGCAGATGCATTTCTGCGTTAAAACCCTGTGGCCTTGTTCCCACACATTTTCAAGGCCTCCTGTGGCCAGAGCCCAAGCTCGCATGGCACACTTTACCCTCTCCCCAGCGGGCTCCATCTGCTTTGGCTGAACAGCTCTCAGCTCACCCAGGCTCAATCCTCGGTGCAGCTCTTGGGTGCATATGGGGTGTCAGGCTCTCCCTTCCTTTTGCCTACCTCATGCTAGCCTCAACACAAGTCTTCTTCAGCAGCTCGAGCTCTGCTGACCTGCTCATTTCTAACTTCACTATCCTTTTGGATTGATACCGTTTAAAAAGTCTCTACCATTTTTTTTTTTCTGGAAAAGCCCAGGAAACACATGGAGGGCAAGCTGCCAAGTCTGAGGCCATTTTTTACTTCCTCTACATCACACAACATAAGGCTACACATCCTTGAACCTTCCCTTGCTCTTCTGGGGAAAGAAAAAAAAAAAAAAAAGAATATCACCACCACCCATTTCCTAGAGCCACCAAGAGGAAAAAATGAGAAATGTGACTGTGGCCAGTGCTGTACCCAGGATAAGGAACGCAAACACAAATTTCCTGCCTTCCCTCTTCCTCTGTCTCTGATCAGTGACTACCTTCACCACAAGGTCGTTTGGGGAAAACTGTATTCATTTAGGAGACAGACAGGTAGGACAGCCTAAGAGCCCAATGGGCCTTCAGCAAGTAACGATTTCTCTGGGACTTAAATGGTTTCAAGTGAAGATAATGGAACTTATCTCTGTGGCAACAGGATAGAATGAGATAATTCATGAGAAAGGACTTCCCTGGAAGAGCAAATTGTAGTATTATTATTTCTCTCAAGTTCTTGCTTCAGAAATATCTTAAAACAACACAACAGACGGCAAGATGACCATGTCCACGTGTGATTTGATGATGACTATGAAAAATGCCACTCTTGCTAGAGGGAAGAAATGTCAGAATTTGTATCACTGTTCTTTGCAGTAGAAAAGCACAGTCCCTGGAAAGATGAGGCAGGTTTCATTTTGAACACAGTTACCTAGGGCACCGCTCATCTCCCAGGCCACAGTGTGTTCTAAGCCAGTGGCGGGGATGGTGGTCTGGGGGCCTTTGAATATGGGTATATCCATCTGAAAGTGCTTGCTGCAACTAACTGATAAAATAGAGACATTAAAACCCATGTAGTTACTGTAAATGAACTTCACTGTTCTTATTATCTCTTATGTCTATCCCTAAGCCATGTTGTTGGAGGAAAAAAGTAAAAAGAACATGACTAAAACAGGGTAATTTGGAGAGAACTATTGTATAAAAAAATACTCCTTCCAACAACAGAGAATTATCTGACATTGATGAAAAAAGATATTGTAGAATTCAATGTTCTGGAGCTCAGTACGGTAATCTAGTGGCTAAAGTCCTTGCCTTGTATGCACCAGGATCCCAATGGCCATTGGTTCTAATCCTGGCTGCTCTACTTTCCATCCAGCTCCCTTCCTGTGACCTGGGAAAGCAGTGGAGGATGGCCCAAAGCCATGGAACCCTGCACCCACATGTGAGACCTGTTAAAGTTCCTGGCTCCTGGCTTCAGATCAGCTCAGCTCCGGCCACTGTGGCCACCTGGGGAGTGAATCAATGGATAGAAGATCCTTCTGTTTCTTCTCCTCCTCTCTGTATATCTGACTTTCCAATAAAAAAAATTAAAATAAAATCTTTTTTTAAAAAAAACAGAATTAAGAATTCTGCTTTTGGTTCCATTCCAGAATGCAACCGTGCAGACTGGTAGGTTAGTAGACACACATATGTGGTATGAACGAGAGACAAGTGGCATGCGCATACACACATACCTGTGGGTTTGTGCATGTGCCTGCGTGTTGGGAGCCGTGCGGGGTGGGGGCTAATCTCATTGTGCAGTTCTTCTAATACAGTTTACAACATCAATTAAGGAATGCCTATCCATAACAGGTCACCACTCTAATAAGAAGTCATGTTAAAATGAACTCTCTTATTTTTCTTTGTTAAACACCTAGCAACATTTTTAAAACATTTCAGCTTTATGACTTTTAGCATAAATATGCCCTTGCCATAATTTGTGATACATTTTATAAGTGACTGGAGGAGATTTCATGCATCGCTAATTCATACATATAAATGTGAAGTTTGCATTAAACATCTCTAAACAAAACCCGTTTCCTTTCTATTTTTAGCAGGAATTGGATAGAGAAGAGACAAGAGGACTCTCATTACAAAGACTGACCCTCTTAAAATTAAGGCTATTCTGTTTTGAGCATCAACCTGCTGTAAAACATTCCTGGTACCAGGATTTAAAAAGGTCTGAGTCTGGAAATACCACAATGGTTGATTGGCTTAAAGAAATAACATGTTAGAACCAGGGAGAGCAGTGATTGCAAGGGGCTGGCAACATTCCAGGCTTGCTTTTAAGTACTCTTAAACTCCTTTGGCTACCAATTCTCAACTCACACCATTTTTTAACGTATGCCAGATAAACCAGGACACCAGTACCATAAAATAAAGAAAGATTCCGGCAGCATGCTACCCACATGCTCTCTAAATCACTAAACTCTTCAGATCCTGCTTTGTTTGGGTACACGAAAACACACAAGAGAACCTTCCTGAAGATGGGCACTTTTGACAGTTGTCTTGGAACACATTACGCCATTTATCATTCACAAGGATATTTTCTACAACCTCTCTGTCACTAAAAGTGGAATTTTTGAAATGTAGCATATGTACCATTTCTTGGTTCAATTTTCCACTAAGAGAAAACTAAAGAGAACAACAAGTTGACAAATGAACAACTGCAAAAATAAAACACAGTAAAGTTTCTCAAAAAAAAAAAAAAAATGGTTCTCATGATTCTTGGCCAATCTATTGATGTAATTAGTAAATTACAGTTTCATGAAAAGTTCCTAAAAAGCTCTTCTAAAATTGTTAACACTAACCAATGGCTTATGTTTTTAAAACATACTGTTTAACTATCATACTATTTAACTATCTTGGAGTTCTTATATTGCTCCCTGTCCAATATTTAATTAGACCTAACGTAAATACTAGGGAAATGTTGAGATGTGTATTTTCTTGTATTTTCTGTGTATTTTCTTGTAGCCTGGAAATTTAGAGAAAAGGTTGTTTTCCCCAGAGACATCATTTTTCTGCAACAAAACAAAATGTACGACACTGTTTAGCAACATGCCCAAATAACTGACAGCCTTTAAACAAGATAGCCTTATGCTGATATAAATTTTAAGTTGATAATTAGAAAAAGCATAGTCTGTGTAACAGTCATAAGAACATGGAGTCATATAATATTTATTTAAGCCAAACAGAATCATACTTCAATAAAAAATAAAACATTAAAATACCAAGCATTAAATACCAACCATTCTTAATCATAGTTTAAGTCTGATAACCGCCCCTCCCAAAAGTAATGTCATGAAAAACAGCCCACAAACCAACCAATACAAAGCTCTAAGCTTTAAACTTTTTGATAGTGTCCATAAAATCCCCAGGAAAGGAGGATATTACAACTCTCTTTGCCACATAGGTGTTTTAAATCACGGTTAAACAGACAGAATGTTAAGAATGGTGTGGTTTTTATTTTCCATAGCAGGTTTATTGACACTTTTTTTTTCTATGAAAGTTCAAAAATCTGACACTACCTGTCCACATAGAAGGGAAAACAGAACTTGGTCAAAGTCTGTAGAACTTCCTGTGGAGAAAGAGAGATAATTTATACATCTAATGGGACCAATAAATCTAACATTAACCACAGCACACAATCCAGCAACTTTACCCTAAAGAAAGAGGAGACAGATGAAGAAATATGGGCTTTATCAATTACATGGGAGGAGTACCAGGCAGTCAATCATGAGAAATAATAAACATGATCAAACTTCATTAAAAATGAAAAATTAATCAAGAATCACACATGGGCAAGCAGCAGGAGCCGTGCAGGAGAGCTCTGAGGGGAGGGAGGCAGTCGGGCTGCTGAGTGTTAACACCCCTCCAGGGACCCTCTCCAGCCTGACCATATGGATCAGAGTGAATAACACCAAGCCACATGGGTTTGGCCTGGCAGGGCCGCTGTTGTTGGCACCGTTTTCCCCTGTTACCTAGGAACAGAGGGGGCCGGGATTAGACGGTGCTTCCCAACATCAATAGGCTAAATCACAGCAAAAAAGAAAGCCAACTTGGATATAATTGTCCCTGAACATCGCAACCACATTTTTTTTTAAAGAGTTTAAAACTTCAATTACTGAACTTTATTAAAAAGCTGCCATTTCTGACAAAAGTTTATTTTTGGGATCAAACTGTAACCATTTTAAGTATGTGCTATTTTTCATTAAATATCATAATTGAACACACTTACCTGCTTATAATCTATGAAAATCCCCAGCAAAGCATCAGTTTAAATGTCTTTTAAAAATAACTACAGAGTATATAAAATCAAGCACATAAATCAGGAATCAAGCACATAAATCAGGGTGCAAAAAGAGATGCACAACCCAAAAAGTTCTTCATTAGACAATATTCTTACAGACAGAAAAAAAAAGAATACATATTGGTACATAAGACATAATACACAATGGTGGATTTTCCTAATGGATCTACTTCACACATACGAGACACACTCACAGCTAAACACAACTATACGTAATTAATTATTACTTCCTTCACAGGATTCTCTTTAGTTTGACTTAATTTAACTGCAGGCTTGGATAGCCCACAGTTGGTGCTCATCATGAGTTCATAGACCAACGTTATAAATTTTAAAAAAGTATTCCTTTCATGCATTTGATTTGCTTCTTAACTATTTAAAACCCCAACTTCAAGACAAAATGAAGAACACATTTTTCAGTCACTGAGAAGCTGGTTCAAATTAAAACAAACCTGCCCATTGCAAATCCTAATCCAAGTAATAAATTAAAGATCAGTTTACAAATGTAGCAGTTTTCTAACCAATAATAATGAATTATCAATGCTAACTGAATTGATGCTTCTCGCTTCATTTATTTTTAAAACCAGTTCTATCATTCAAGAAATAAACCACATCAATCTAATAACCCACTCAATGAAGCAGAAAGCACATTGACTTGCTCTGCCAGAGCATGTCCCGCCTACATAATTCAATTGAGCATATCCTATTCTCTAATATCATCTTGGCCTGGCCCTATGTATAACACAGCAGTGTTAAGGCATGTCACAAAATAATAAACAGGGGAGTGGAAAAGAATACTTGAGCATGCTCTTAAGAGGCATTATTTCTAACTTACTTAACTTTATAACATGGCATTAGTATACCCATCTAGATTACTGTTAAACTAAATGTTTAAACAAAGTTTAGGAGTTAATGCAGAATCAGAACAAAGGCGATTTCAAAGGTATAATGCTCTTATCATGCAAATATGGAGAAACATATGAAACAAAACCTCCACTTTAATGGCCATGTATTTAATTAGGAAATACATGATAACCCATCTAAGCAAAACTCTTATTCCTTAAATACACAAAAACATGTCCTTACATGGCTGTCACTTCAAGTTTCAAACACCACAAAGTATCTCTTCACTTCAGTCATGTACCAAGCATTCCTTACGACTCAGTACCAAGCTCACTCATTATCAATATCGGCTACAAAGACAGTTATCCTTCACCCCTCCAAAGTTACAGGTGCAGAAAGCACTGCTCTACTCTATGCTGGAGCTGCACTGGCAAAAGGCCTCAAAGATTTTTGAAAGAAAGAACCCCCATGGCTGCAAGAAAGCATTATGCTCCACAGCACACTCAAAGGAATCTAATATGCCCAACTTATTACTCACTACAATGTATAGAAACTACTTACCACTTTCAAATGTCAAGAATAATAACCCACCTTGAACTTGTCTGTCAGATAATATTACAACAAATATCAAAATACTCTATGTACGCTGAGTGTAAGCCACCTCCCAGGAGCTTTTCCTTTTACCCAAGGAAGCAGTGATAAGTCTAATTAAGCAGTGGGGACCTGGGGTTGGGGGATGGGGAGACAGGGAAGAAATCCAAGCAGATGTAAACACACGTTTGTACACTGCAATATTTTTCTTTATGTTTGGGATATTCCACAAGCTTGATATTCTAACATAAGTTAAACAAGATGGTGATCTGCTGTAGGAAGGGGAAAAAAAAAAGCATCTACTCCGTATCGGGCATAGCCCACACATCATCTACATCAGATGAAATAACCACTTCTTGATTTGGGACAGGGAAGGGGAATGGGAAGCCAGCAATCTTCTGTGTAAGTGGGGACTGCTGGAATAAACCGATTTTCTTAGTACTGATGTTTTCCTTACACTGTAACATACACATGCAACTCCTTCTCTTCCGTTTCCAAAGAAAAGCATGATTACTTGGACGTGAGAAGCACCACCCTCCAAAAGAACGGGCTTGAAATCCCTGACTCCAACAGATCTTGAGCATACGTGTATGCCAGAGTACCCTGCAGTCCCTCCATGCTAACTTCCGTGTGAAGGCAGACGCTAACCACCAGCAAGCCCCCCCGTTTGCTCTCTGGAACCTGTGACCTGGTCTGAGGGTGGAGTGGCTTTCTTTCTGAGATGATTTTCCTGTTTTCTGCCCGGTCTCTAACCTGCACGAGCTCTTCAGACAAGAATCCTCAGTGCAACTTGCCCCACCGCCACATAAATCAGACCTTGGAGATGCGGCCCAGCTGATGAAATGTAAATGACCTCATTGCTGAGGCAGGGGTGGGCAGGCTTGTGGGCCAGCTCTCCAGATCAATTCCCAAGTTTATATTTTCACAAATCTTTTTATGTACAGTTTGATTTTTTAACATTTTAATGAGCAAAAAAAAAAAAAGTGAATCTACACTCTCCAGTCACCACAGTTAAAGTGCAGGGCATGAACTAGATCCCAGGAGGGAAGCAGTCCACCATGTCACCACCGGCTTTAGGACATTCGCCACCTGGTTCCATGTCCCCAGGTTCCAACCCTTTTCATAATCAAAACACTGCTGACATTATAAACCCCAGACGGGTTTTCTAAAATCCCTCCCAATCAATATATCCAACACATAACTTATTGGAGACAACACCAGCTCATTGATTAAGGTGAGTTCAGTAGCAAAGTTTTCAAAATAAATGAGACAAGAACACAGCATTCAACCCCTTTGTGTCACCAGACAATTTATGAAATAGGCAATTTCCAAAAGGGCTTTTCTTCCTAACAAAATATATGATATATCATGTGGGAAGTAATAAGAGCGGAGCTAGAAGGGAGGGAAGAGAAGGCAGGATGTGTGATGGAGAGTCAGCCAATCCTTCCAGTTAAGCATGCATTAAACAACACATACACAGTCCAAGCCGAAAAACAGCCTCTACAAACCTCTGTCAATAAGGAGATGCCAAACCTCCGAGCATGAACCAAAATATCAAATTAACACAGCTAATGCAAATATATCTACAAATGAAACTCAGGAAGGATTTGTAAGTTCATCTTGGTCTGACTTTGGATTCCTGTCACACAATCCCAATTCTCACCTGGTTGAAGGCCCAACAAGGGGATGCACACCAAGCTGTACAAAGTAGATAATGTTCTGCTGGCACTGAACCACTGTCTTTAAAACCTGGTAACGTGTTGGGCCCGGCACGGTAGCCTAGTAGCTAAAGTCTTCGCTTTGCATGTGCTGGGATCCCATATGGGCACTAGTTTGTGTCCCAGCTGCTCCACTTCCCATCCAGCTCCTTGCTTGTGGCCTGGGAAAGAAATGGAGGATGGCACAAGGCCTTGGGACCCTGTACCGACATGGGAGACCTGGAAGAAGCTCCTGGCTCCTGGTTCCAGATCAGTTGAGCTCTGGGTGTTGGGGCCACTTAAGGAGTGAACCAGCAGATGAAAGAAAAAAAAAAACCTGATAAAGTGGTAAATGCATAACAGTTTCCACTCTGGAATCCTACCTGGAAGCCAAACTTGGGAGACTAAAATTCAAGGGGTACAGATAATGAGAAGGCTAAACCAGTTCACTCTGAACCTGTGGTGTGAGGCAGGAGGGAGTGTAAGGAATCATACAGCAGCCATCATTCTCAGATGTCAAAGACTTTGCTTGCTTTGTTTCAGTGAAGCCTATAAACCGAGATCAGATTTGGCAGATAAAAAAAACGGACAGTCTGACACAACCATGCACACCCCGCAAACAAATGCCACGCAAAGATAAATGCAGAGGTGGAAGACAGTGTCCAGTGGAGTGACAGAATGGTGGGAGATGAGGCACATTCTCAATGGTTTTAAGTGAAAAAAAGAGGGGGGGGGGGGAGAAGGAGGAAGAGAGAGGGAGAGAAACAGAGAAAGGAATCCATACAAAAAAAATTTTAATAAAGAAGACAGCTTGAATAAATGAATTATATTTTAAAATATGTAAAGCCACAATTAGCCTCTGTGGTTTGCTGAAAGCAGATATAGCTGTGGGTAATTTACCTTTGTTAAAAAGAAAGAGTAGGAAGAAGAGCAGGGCGAGCTGCTAGAACATTCCCTGGGTTTCTTATACCTAATTTATTTGTTCATTTCAAAATGTAAGTGTGTGATGAAGAGATCAGTAGAGCTCAAATTCCTAAAATACTCTCTTTCTATGTTTAAATTTTTTTTTTAATAGCATGGAGGAAATGCTGACCCTCTAACTCCTGCAGTTGAGAGCGGTGCCACTGACTTGAAAGAAAA